GAAGATTAAATATTCCCTGGAGTTTTTCAAGGTGAAATAACATTCCCTTGAAAGCACGTGTAACCGGCCTTCCACCCTCCGCAAGCACCAGCCTGCCTTGCAGCAACCTCTCTGCATCTGTGCTGAGTTGCAAATCAGGCACAGGAGTTAATTCCAGGCTTAACATCGTGTCCATAACTTCCTATCTCAGCCCTGCCCTTCCCTGTTCACCTAGCAGCCACCTGGCCTCACCATGCTTGTTGCCAGCGGCTCCCAGACCTTTTTGGCCTCCCACACCTTTTCGGACAATACCTCTGTCTAAAAAGCATCTGGCAACGAACAGGCAGCTGCTGGACTCAGAAGAACGAGCCGAGCGCGTGTACGCCCTTGGGAGGAGGATCCAACTCCTCTCCCAGAATTTTTTTCATGCAAAATACTCACAGAGGTCTCAGGAACCAGCGGGAGAGTCTGCCAGGGCATCAGGGTATCAGCTTAAAAACCAGACCCTTGCCTTCATACCTTTCAGTTTTCCATCGAAATTGGGGTTGGTGGCAACCTTGAGGCCCGGGTGAGGTAAGAGGAAGCAGGAGATTTTGGTGAAGCAGGAGTGGATGTGCTTTCTGACGTTCTGCAGCTCTTCGTGCTGATTTCCTGAGACCTGCGAGAGACCAGTTTGGGGTCAGTGGGCTTCCTTCTGATGGGGACACTGGTAACACCGGGCCAGCGGTGCTGGCAGGAGCACGGGGTACTCCATGCTGTGGCTGCTTACAGCAGGGAAAAAGCAACAAAGAAGGACATCCCGTAGGGGTATGTCGCCTGAGGAGAAAGACAAGGTTCTTCCAGTGACCAAGGAACTAGGGTATCTCTGACCACACGCCCTGGGACATGTTATTATCATTTGGAAAATGTGTACGGCCATGTATGACTGGAACACAAAAACATTTGGGACTTCCCACTAGGGCCTTTCTTGTCTCCCCTTTAATTAGGTCTCTGCACTACCCAATCACCCATGCATTTCCTGATTAATCCCAGCGGAGCCCTTGCCTATCAGTGTTACTGTACAACTACCTATTACTAACACATCGTTCCTGGTCTCCAGGGAATCTGCTGACTCCCATCTCCAACGCCTCTCCCAGCTGCTCCCAGCAAAAGAGCCCCAAGGAGCCTGGGCTAGGCAGCCTCAGCCCTCCCCTGAACGTGGCAAAGAAATTCAGCCTCCTAAAATGCCTCTTCTGTGATTTTCATAGAATCATAGAATCCCAGACTGGTTTGGGTTGGAAGGGACCTTAAAGCCCATCCAGTGCCACCCCCTGCCATGGGCAGGGACACCTCCCACCAGCCCAGGTTGCCCAAAGCCTCATCCAGCCTGGCCTTGAACCCCTCCAGGGATGGGGCATCCACAGCTTCTCTGGGCACCCTGGGCCACTGCCTCACCCCCCGCACAGGAAAACATTTCTTCCTCAGAACTCATCTCAACATTTCTTCCTCACATCTCATTTCCATCTCCCCTCTTTCAGCTTCAAACCATTCCCCTTGTCCTGTCCCTGCACCCCCTGATCCAGAGCCCCCCCCATCTCTCCTGTAGCCCCCTTTCAGCACTGGAAGCTGCTGGAAGGTCTCCCTGGAGCCTTCTCTTCTCCAGGCTGCACACCCCCAACTCTTTCAAGCCACTGGAAAAGTGTGACCGTGACCAGCACCTCTGCACACTGCAGCTCACACCTAAGGGCCAGTGCTGTGGCCACCCAGCTGAACCCTCCCCAGTGCCGGTGCTCTGCACCCCATTCCCTGCTCCCTGCCTAGGATGACACTCTCCAGGGGAGTTGTCTCCCCGACCAAGGTCTCACCCTCATGCTCCGTGGCCCTTCCACCCAAGCAGCTGATGGCAGCGCATCATCCCTGGGTCATGTTCCAGATTTGCCTCTTCGCTCTCATCGCCCACATCGTACCCCCAGGCCAGCACTGCTCATTAAATGAACCCAGATGAGAAAGAACGCACCTTCAGCCGCTTCTCCAGAAATCTTGCGCCACCGTCAGATCCATAGGAAAATTCATACGGGAAGCTCCAGTCACGAACCAGGAAAATAAGGGACTAGAAAATGGAGACAGAAACACAACAGGGTCAGTCAAAGGGAGTAAAAATCACCAGCTGCTCCAGCTTTGAAAAATTCATCTTTCAAGGGCATTGCTGTTATTTGTTGCTAATCACGGGGCCAGGAGTGGCTAACTCTGCTGTACATTACCTAAAAGGGGCTCACATGGGAGTTCAGGGCCCCCTTCCCCACTGCCACCACTCACAGCAGCCGACCACACTCAGCCGTCGGAGCCCTTTTTTTCCCCCCCCCCTGCACCCTCACCCCAACCTTCACACCACAACAAGACCTGGCCCCGAGTCTCTGCCCAGTCCAGCAGCAACCCACACCCGTACTGGTGGAAAGACCCCCCCGTGCAGGGCCATCCCAGCGTGGCGCTGAGACCGCGCGGGCTCGCTGCACGTGTGGAGCAAAGGGGGAGCAAGCCCAGGACTGCTCTGCGGGTTCGCTGGGTGGTGCTTTGATTCCCCAGCTTGAAGAATAGCATCAAGCATTTAAACTGCAAAACAAGAAAGAGATATTTGCTAAGCAGGACAAAAGGCAACGCGCTCCCTAATTCCAGCCGCATTTAGTTCCATCCTATGGGAATTTTACAGGCTCATTTTTTCAGCCTTTTTCACTGGGCAGCCTTCCAGACAGACTTTTAATGAGAAGCAGATGCAGGCTAACGAGGGGGAATAAGAAATCACTGGCTTTTGTAATCGTTATTGAGGCATTCAAAGTTCCTATGCAAGAAATAAATAAATACCAGTACGGTCAACTTTTAATCTTTAAAAAAAAAATGTTTTCAGAAAAAATCCTGTCTCCAGTGTCTCATTTGTGCAAGGAACCTACATCCCATGTAACAAACACAGGGTTTGGAGGGGGAAGCCCTGAACACTGAAGCCCAGGAGGGTCTGGCTGGGGTGCGCATGAATAAGCAGGACAGCAAGTGGAATCCATTTCGCTGGAATTTCTCTAAAAATTGTCTGTGTTTAGAACAAAGATTTAGTGGAGGGAGAGAATAGATTTCCCCTCCTTATTCCTCTTCCATAAAACATCAGGAAAGGTTAAAACAAGAGAGAGAACAGTGAGTTAGCCATTCCTACCGGCACAGCAAGCCGCAGTGACTGCACCCAGTTAGCTGTTCAGGACACGCTGTTCTTTCTAAGACCATGAGATGCTTCGGAGACATGGTCATGTTTAGGACTTTTCCACAAACACATTAAGCATGCCTTGCACTATTTGACTCTGGAATTATTTTCTTTTTTCTTAAGCAAGATTGTTCCAGACGTGCTGTCTTTACCAAGCCTCATAGCCACCCTCAGCCCCTCCAGCCTCGCAAACTCCCAGGCAGCATGCAGCCTTTGCTAAAGCATCGTGACCAGGACCGGCGTCTGGCGAGGGTGCGTGGGGCAGAGCAAGTGCTGAAGAGGTGGGATGGAGCCGTGGAGAGGAGGCAGCCGAAGGGAAATGTTAATTTTTCCATTGCCAAGTCTTACTTCCCTTCCAGCAGGATCAGCGCAACTGGCTCGCTATCGACACTTTCTCTGCACTCCCAGCTTGGCAGCACTCTCCTATAGGAGCTGTTTTCCAAAGCCTCCTTTTTACAGATTTATATATTTTAAGGACAAAAGAGGTTCAGTTTGTTTGACTTAACCTGGAACCTCACCCAAGCAACTCAAGCTGTAGACTCTCTGCTGCAAAGAGAGCTGTCTCGGTTTAGAGCCTGCAGCTACCAGAGAAGCCCCTGCACGTCTCGTTAACCCCACCCTAACCACCAAATTGTCCCCTCATTAACAGTGTGCTCCTCTGGTTTTGTCCAGCCTCAGCTGCAGACACTGAGCTGCACGCTGCCCCATCCTCCCCACTGGAAAAGCAGTTTATTTACCATTCTTCTGCTTCCTAATAAAAATGCTTTGCTGTCTTTAAAAACGTGCTTTGCAGGAGCAAGCCCACTTTGCGGTGTGGACAGATCTCTGCTGCTCACCTGGCCACATCACCATCGATCCTTCTGCCAAATTTTGTCACATCTGCAAGGATTACCACCAGTTATTTGATATTTTTCCCCAGATCGTTAATGAAGATGATAGCGCATCAGAGAGACCCCGGGGGGGGAGCCCCAAGGAAACGCTTCAGAAGGATGATGATTGCTAATTAAGATCAGTTCGGCGTGCTCTGTCATCTATCAGTTAATGAGTTTTTAATCCATTTACAATGGATTCAAACAGATAATGCTGACTTGGTGTGTTGTTCACTTGCTTTTAACCAGCCTCGTAGGGAGATAAGGCTTACAGACAGCAACGTATCATGGTGACAGCTACATTTATCAGCCAAACTCGTGGTCTTTTAAAGATAATAGGGACGTTTGACAAGACTTGCTATCCACAAACCTGTGTGACTGGACAGCAATTACAGTCCTTGGTAAAATCTGAGCCTATTATCCAGTCCTAATGACTTAAGCATATTTAGAAGTTTCCCCTTACAGCCTCCTTTTTACTGGTGGAGGAGGAAGCGTTTCACTTTCACTGAAATATTTGGCTACATTATCCTGATAGTTTTTAAATAAAGAACAGGAATTTGATGTCTGGCTTTTTGCTGTACCATGTTACAGTTTTCTCCTAGCTCTTGCTACTACAAGTCATATATTTTTACTGGTAACTCTCACATCGTTTATCAGCCATCTGCCCATGCCAGCATCCAATAGACTCTCAAAGCTCCCCAAAATCTCCATTTGTCCATTTGTTGTATTTTTTAACCTCTTAATTTTATTTCCACTTCCTGACCACAGGCACCCTATAAACACCTCAGGCCTTCCAGGATGGTGGTGAGGACGGCAATTCTCTTTTTATGCTGGAAGGCAAAAGTAAAATAATTGTAACCCATTCCTAATTACTCTGCATTTTTACAGCATGTTTTGCTCTCTGCTCTTTTCCACTTTGGGAAGCTCACAAACCCCCATCCAGCTACCACCTAACCTACTCTGGATGCCAGATGGAAGCTGGACCAAGCCACTGGGACTGCCAAAGAGCAGCTGTTAAAAAAAAATTACTTGTACAGGACAAAACCAGAGCCCCACAGAAGGTGTTTTCCTTCCATTTAACCACCCTGATCATGCAATGAGCCCTGTGGTGTGAGGACACATGGGGACCTCACAGCATCACTCCCTCCGTCCCCATGGGCCCTGCTCCCTGCACCACACCTGGTCCTAAAGACCCCCAAAAGCTTCGAAACCTCTTCAACCACCTTCCCAGCCTCCAAGGTGCACAGGACTTGGTGCAGCCATAATCAAAGCCGTATGAAATCATTATGTGATCTGTTAAAGGACTGGAGCGTTAGTGAGCTGCCATAGCCATGTCATGGGTTCCTTCTGCCCCTCTGCGTTCTCTTTGTCTCTTTTTGTTCATATTCCCTTTCCTACCTTAGGGGCTGTCACATCCCACCACTCTCCCAGCTGCTCACAGCTCTGGTGTGCAGAACAAGCTCTCCTCTGCCCGACACTCTCCCTTTTTTGAACACCAGCTTTCACAGGTTGGGAAGCAGCAGGGCGAACAGATGTCCCTTATTTGAATTTAAAACCCCACTTAAACCAAGCCTTCCCGTGGCTCTGCTGTCGCTCGTGAGGGCTCTGAGCTAATCCTCATCCTTTCATTTTGTCAGGAGCAGGGATTCCCGGGGAAGCCAAATTCAAACCTCTCAGAGTGAAGGCTGGGCAGAGTCCCTGGGTAGAAAGCACGACAAACCTGACTGCTTTCCAAGCCCAGCAGGACACCTGGCAGGACTGGGCAGGGCTCTCAGGATGGCAAGGGTTCAGAGAGGAAAGAAAGAGGGATGTTGGATGTATTTGGAAGCCTCTCTGGGGGCAATGAAGCACAAAGCCTTTCCTTTGCTGCAGCTCAGCCAGTCCCCAGGCATCCCCATCTCCTCCTTGTTCTGCAAACTGCAGTGACACCTCGTGGTGAAGCCAACCAGCTTGGGGCCAAGCCACCTCCAGCGGAGGGACATGCGCTGGCCAGGACCTGTGGACTCACCTGGAAAGGTTTCAGGAATGTCTCCTCCATGGCCAGCCGACCATACTCAGTGAAAAGCTGGAAGGAGAAGCAAAGAACAAGAGGACTGTTAGTTTGTCAGTCTGCATGGGCAGGCAGACGGCTGTGGGCCACAGGCACAGCAGCAAGGGACGGTTTTTGTCTCGAGGCTAAAAGCACCATTTGCAGAGCTGGAACAGAAACTGGCTGGCTGGGTGCTTTCGGTTCACAGAGGCACACAGAGCTGTTACAATCACCATCCTGAGCCCCCACATGAAAGACCTAAGCCTGGAATTTTTGGCTGCCAAATCTGTGAAAAATGGCTCAAATCAGCTGTTTGCTGTTGGTTTCACACCAACCAGAAACTTCACATGCTACAGGGGACTGCTGGAGCCCCGCTCTCTTTAAACACTCCAAGAAGAAGCGGAAATGAATTCAGAAATAAGTACTTTGCCTGCAAACCCCCACTGTGCAAAGACTGTAAGATCAACCTACCAGCAAGATTTGAAGCCTCTCCAGTCTCTCTGGACTGTAATTTCTAACCAAAGGCACAATAATGTATTTCACAGATGCCTAAAAATAGGCCAACATGTTAAACAATAATGGCTTAAAAACCAAACTGAAAGATCCGAGTTGCATCGGTTAAGTTCAATGTTAAAAAGGCATTATTGTTAAAAATATTTACTGACTGAAATGATACAAGATTCTTCAGATGCTGATTTTTCCAGCTAGACTTTTGCTTTTCTTTCCCTTTTCTTAAGCTCCTAGAAAAACCTACCTCACAAATCAATCAACAACCTAAACAGAAGAGAAAGCTAGAGGTAATACCAGGAAACGGGCAGGACACGTGTGCCACAAAAATCCAATTAGCTGCTTGTCTCCAACAGTCAGGGCTGTAATTACCCTTAGGGGTCACCGGTATTGAGCCAGCACCAGATGTCAATACCCAGGCTTATAAACAGCTACCCAATTCTTTGAGCTTCTCCTAAAAATCCAAAGATCCTCTCCTACAGCATGAACAGTGGAACTTTTACCTTCAGCTTCACTGTCACTTAAGTCGAACGAGCACTTTTACTGCCCCTACTCGTGGAGCAGCAGACGGACGCTCGCAGCAGCTGGAGTACAGCCAATACGTGGTTAACTACCCTGGATCCCTCCCTACCACCAGTCACTTCAGCCCCTCGCTGCAAGTCCTTGCATGTTTGCAGCCCCATGGGTCGGTCCTGGCCTCTGATGGGTCTCTGCTCCCCCGGGAACCCCAGTATAGTCCCACGGAAGGACACACAGACCAGCGTGAGCTGTATCCAAACCCCTCCTGGCAGACCTGTGCTGGGTGCTCCACACCGAGACAGTCTGTGGTGGGTTCTCTGCCCTACGCAGTCTGTTTGATGCTCCTCTAACCAGCACCAGAAAGTCAACTTAGCCCTCGCTGGCTGCAGCACCACCCACGACAGCCTGTCCCGTGCACTGTGGACATAAGAAGGGACACTGCCTTCCACTTTGCAGCGGCCTCATACACAGCTGAAGACTGTCACCACCTCCCCTATCAGCCACTTTTGTCTGAACAGCCTTGGTTCCTTCAGCCTCTCCGTGCCCTCCAGCCACCTGCTGCAGCACCAAGCATGGCTGTGGGCCATTTCCAGCTTCACAGATGATCAGCCTTGAGGAAAGCACATGTCCCAGAGACAGGAACAGTCCCTCCTGGCAAGCGGCCCATTGCCTGCCCTGCCAAAGGACCAACCACCCCAGGAAGCCACGCTACTAGAGTGTAAGCAAGACAGGTTTCAACCCAAGGAACTGCTCCTCCAAGCCCATGAACCAATATGAGAGTTGGGAAACTGGAAAACCCTTTTGTGGCTCCGAATGCAAAAGCACCTTTCCAGAGCAACACAGCTTGCAAGCACGGAGTGTAACCCAGGCACCCCAGTGCTGCAGAGCAGCAGGGACAAGGGACTTACCTGCAAGTGCTGCAGATCATCCTCCTGAACATTCTGGGACAAGTTATAAACCTGCATTTAAAAATAAAAAACTTTAGAACACTTAGAATGGCCTGTACTTCAGACCAGCATGTGTGTCAGTGTGGTTAAAGCCTATGACATTACCATGGGGACACAGCCAAAGTCCCAGCTGGCCCATGATGCCAGCACAAGACAGGCTCCACTCACAGCTGTACAGACAGACAAGCTCGCTGTACAGCAAAACACTCCAGCACTGGAGCACCAGGGGCTGTTATCCCCCAGCCCAGAAGCCTGTTAGGTCCAAATAATGTTTCATGTTCATTTTTACAAGGTGCTGAGCTCTGTACCAAGACACAGCTTCACTCCATTCATGCTGTCCTCCAAGAGGAAAAGCTGGATGGTAGGACAGGAAGCCCTATGTGGTTACTGGTGCGTCAACACCTCTAGCCCAGAGCTTTCTCCAGCAGCACTGAGACAAAATCACCCCCAGTTCCGCAGATCAAAGTCTTTTCCTCTTTGTAGCTGGAACCAAAGGGAGGTATCTGCTGCTGGCCCTGCTCTTGGGGTGAGATGAGGAGATGAGATGGTTCCCTGTGATGATGGAGTCATGTGAATCCTGCGCTCAGTGCAGCCACTGCCTCTCCCACCAAAGGCCCTGGCTAGCTGCTGTGTTAGGCTGGTGCCAAGCTACTGGGTTTTTGCCACCGCCTTTTAGAAAGTGATTCCTGGAGACATCCCCCTTCTTACCTGTATCGAGCTGATCATTGTGCTAAGGGCAAACACGGTGGCGGAATCCCGCAGAGTGGACTGGCTGTCAAAGGTCCCCTGCGTGTCCATCAGCAACACTGCAACCTGAGAGACAGAAAGCTCCACGTCAGCTTGGGTGCACCCGTTCAGCACCTGCATCCAGGTAAAATCACTCTCAAATGCCACAGGGGTCGGGGCGTGAATGTCAGCTGCGTTATCGTGCTGGGAATCTCACTGCTTCTGCCTCAGACTTCTAACTGGTGGAGGGCAAAGGAGAAAAGCAGCCCCAGTCACTCCTGGCAGTGCAATGACTGCAGCAGGCAGCGAAATGAATGCTGTCCAACGCAGAGGAGGGAACTGCTTTGCTCCCCAAATACTTGCTGTCAGTGTGGATGGGTCTTTTCTTGAGTCTGCATTAGCTTCATGTCACAGAAGCCAACACAGGAGTGTATTGCACCTCCTTGACCCAAAACACATTCAGCCAGCACTAGAAATCACACCGTGAATAATTCAGTATCCCTTTGGCGTTGGGCTCTTCATTAAACAGTAGATGAACAGAAATATTCCTGGCTATAAGTTGAATTTGCAGGATGCCCCAAAATCCAGTTTGCATTGTATTTGACCACCCTGAATGAAGACATTCCATTTTACAGCTACTGCTCTAGGAAAGGGGAGAAGTTTGCAAGGAGCTCAGATTCAAGATCCCTGGGAATGGCAGAGAAATAAACTCTGGGATGCCCAGAGTTAGAGGGGCACCTAGAGAGCACATCAGGGACCCCCAGACATCACATCAACTCATTGCATTAAATCCATTCATGCTAAATTACAGATATGGTATTGAAAACTTTCTCTAAACTTGCACAGGCGTTTGAGCCACCTAAGACAAGGCCAGAGAGTCTTACAAAAGCTGGAAGAGAAAAATGAGCTGGCCAGCAACAGACAGCTATGCAACAGAGAAGCACACACCTTTTTACCATCGGGCTTGTCCACCAGGAAAACTTCGCTCCATATCTGAATGCCGGTCGTCTCCCGCTCAGACCCTCCCCTCCAGGAGAAACCAGTCAGAGGCTCGTTGTAATCTCCAACCCAGTCCACTGCTTCCTGCAGGTAGGAACAGAAAAAGTTGCTGGAGTTCTCATCTCATTTTGGTTTTACACTTTTCCTCTGTGCTACATCCATGTCAGTGCTGGAGGGGGGATAGCCCCTATAACAGAGGTTTCCTACAGGGCAGCAAATGTGAACATCTCTGCTCCAAAGTCAAGAGTCCACTAGAGACCCTCTGGTGCACAGGGCTGTGGAAGGCTTTGCCCTATTTTATTTTGTGAAACCCATGCCAATGAGAGGCTTGAGCGTTCCTAGGGTGTTCCATGGGAGCAATGAGCAGCAGCACCATGCCCCTGGGAAGAGCCACCTGCCACCTGAGCTGGAGCCATACCTTATTGTACATATACCGTAGCATAAAGTCCATCAGGAATGATTTTCCTTTTCTAAAAGCTCCAGCAACAGACACAGCCACGACCTCTTTATCTCTGACAGCCTCTGAGAGGAGGATGTTTTTTCTTCATCCAGTTCAAAGGAATGGTCATCTTTGACGATGAGGACTTGCACTGGTCCTGCCTTCCTCACCGATTCCTCCTCCTCTGAGCTCCACTCATAAGTCTTCTCTCCAAAACTACCTGTGTAAACAAGTAAAGCAAGAGCTGTTAGGTTCCTTCTGCAAAGTGCAGAATCACAGACAGCAGGGCTAGACAGGGTGGGAACAGGCCAGTGAGCCCAAATATCCATCCCCAACCAGCACTGTTCAGAGCAAACCTGTCCTCAGACATCTCAGTGGACACTCCATGCCACTCTGGGGCCATCTGTCCGCATGGCAAGAGAGTTCCCTGCTGGAATTTCCCTTGATGAAACACTCATTACTTTTTGTCCTACAAGAGTCGATGTGGAGAACAGCTCACTCTCTTTTTGCCTGCAACAGCTTCTTCCATACACAAAAACTGCCATAACACCTCCGTTAGCCTTTATGCAGGGTATAACATCTCCCTTTAGCTTTCCCTCTGCTGGACAAGAGAAGTCCGAGCTCCCCGTCATCCCTTGGTACCACAGCATCGAGGCATCTGACTGCTCTCCTCTGGACACTACCCACCGGGTCCTTCCTGAAGGCTGTCTCACAAACGGATGCAGCATTCAAGCGGAGGTGTCTAACCACCTCATATCTCTGATAAAAAATGCTGCCTCCAAGCACCCTGTGTGACTGCTGTTTCTGTAGCAACGGCAGAGTCCAGCTCCATCTCCACTCTGCACTAATGCTCTAAGTGTACCCTTTTGCTTCTACCAGCAGGAACCACGCCACGAAGCCAGATGCCCATCCTGATAAAAGCCACTTCTTTGCTCCCAAGTGGAAAGCATACAGCAGAGCATGGGCACTGCTCGCTTTCCCGCTTTGAAATGTTAAGGTTCCCCTCAGAGCTGCTCCCTGGTACGGAGATGAGTGCTGCCCAGGCTGTTTAGCGTTCATATGGCTTTACCAGAGGGTCTCACCTCCCCACCGGGACAGCGGAGAAGTGACAAGCACGATATCGCAGCAGGAGCCTTTGGAGGGGACAGGCAGGGACCCAGCGTTCGGTCCCAGCATCTGCTCTCAGCGATGGCAGCATGCCAGGCAGATACATATCACCCAAAAGATCCTCCAGGCCACACCGCTGAGATGATTACAGCTTTTAACAGCCGCAGGGTCCGTTTGGGCTGCTTCGTGTACCTGCCACAACACAGGAGACGGATGCGTTTTCAGACCTGCCATCCAGAGACTGCAGCCCTGGGGTTTGCAAAGAGCCGGCCAGCTCCGGTAATTTTCCTTTTGTTGTCTCCAAACTTCCTAGCACAGGAAAGTGACACTAGAAGTGATTAATCATGCCAGTCAGCTCACGTACAGCCACATGAAATCTCACCAGTAGAGAAGGGAGAGTGTGATGGAAAGCTCCTCCACATTTCTACAAAAACCTCCCAGTTCATTGGCTCGGGCTGCACGTTTCCAAACACGCTGGCCTCACGTTAAAACTCCTCGGTCTCTGTTTCAGACCCTGACCTCGGGAACCCAGTTCTCACCCAGTCCCAGCTGTTTCAAAGCACAAGGACTACGTGTGCCCATGTTAAAAGGCAAGCTATAAACACCAAGAGGAATGGGGTTTGCCCATTCTGGGCCTCTCCATAAAGAAACCTCCAGCAGCAACTTCATATTTTAAATAACAGCAGTGCTTTTGTACGAGTTGCTGATTTCCTACCATCCTGAAACAAAATATCGGGATCATTAAGCCTGGTTGCTAGGGGATGTCTGGTGGCTCTCAGACATATACTATGAGCTTTCTTTGCTCACAGCTGAAAGACAAAGATCTTTTCTTCCCCATGCTTGGAAGTTTTTTTAGCAAAACAAAAGTCCCAAACGCTCTGAAAAGATAGATTCTCCACCAAACTGCAGCAGCCAGGGACCAGCAGCACTAAACTCCCTGCAAACACCAGCCTCTGCCCCGTATCACTGCTTGGGGGCCTCCAGAAAAAAAAAAAAAATTCCTGTTTCAAATATACAGACCCAAGATCCAGGCACACATTGCCAAATGACTTGAGAAATGAAGGCCTCCAAGAGCAGTCAGTCCTCTTGCTGCACGCACCAAACACCGGCTCGCATGCTCTTTTTAAGTAGTGCCATGCTGCGAGTGCCACAGAAAGTCTACGATAGGAAATACCTCCTCTCCCGGGGCGTTTCCCAATGCTCCGCTCAGCTGAGTCCAATTTCTTTCTTTTTTCCTTTTTACAGCTGCACAGAAAGGCCAGTGGAGAGATCCTTGTATAGGATGTGACTCATGGTGGAGGCAGGAAAAAAGTCTGTGAATCAAATTCAATCTAAACATTTCTGACTGTAGCCAAGCCTTTGGGGTGCAGGTGAAATAACTGTGCCACCTCCCCAGGCCAGACGAGTCCCTCCTCTGGGCACAGAGAGGGCAAGAGGGACCAGCCAGAGCGCCCAGCTGGGTACCCAGATGGGTATGTTGATTTCCCAGTTCACTGGAGATATCAGGAGAAAAGCAAGTCTCTGAACTAATTTCAGCCCTGTTATCTCTGCTTCTCTCATGTATGCCATCTGCAGACAAAACTCTCTTATTTCCATGTGACTAAACTTCTATATTCTGTTTATCAGATTATCTGCCACAGAACCAGAGATCATCTTGTAAACCGGCTGCACATTACTGGAAATTAATTATTTTAATAGGTCTTTCCAGCATAAATTAGGTATGTGCTTTGAAAGAAGTTGTACCTGGCAATAGCAAAACATTATCTGGCCAAAAAGGAAAGGAAGGAGAGCTAAGCTTTCCTGAACACGCTCTTGTTTTTACTCATTTTCTAACTTGACTCCTCCTCTCTGTCGGCTCTCTCCCGGCACCTTGCAATTACATCAATTCTCAAGCTGCTTATTCAGAAATCGACAGGACGCAGTTCCTTTTCCCCATTTTGTAACAGCTCATTTCCATGACTCTACAGCGGGGTGGAATCCACGGCTCTTTTCCATATGGTGATTCAAAGTGGAAAAGTGAAGGAGATCAGAATTTGCATTCGTACCTACTGGGCTGTCAGACAGCAGCAAGGAAATGGCCCCGTTCACGCAGGCAGCCCCACAGTACAGGATGTACAGCTCATTTTATTAGAGTCTAAGGAAAAAATAAAGCATTCTTCAACTGCTGTAGGTTTTATGTACGGTTAAGACGAAATAAATTCAAACAGCGTATTTCACGTTGCACCTGTGTACAGTCTGACAGCTGATGGCTGATGTATTTAAGCTCCTACAGAAGAATAAATTAGATCAATTACATGTCACTAATTATGCAACATACCTTCGGTGAGTGCTTGCTTCAGCCTGTTCTTTCTTAGCTACGGAAGAACAGGTCACAGAAATGCTGATTGCTTTCCAGAGACTGACTAATAAAGTCAGCTTCTTCCTTATATGAGTTTGCACAACAAATACATTTCATTCCAGAGACCAAAATGTAGCCGTGACCCATCATCTGTGCAAACACGGCTGCTTAACCAGACCTTGAGAAAGCCAATTTGCCAGCCCCGCTCTTGTGCTCTCTCGGATCCCAGGAGCCTTACCTATCCAAGCAATGCCCATGAAAAGCAGCCTAGGCCCCGTTTCCCCCCCTAAAATACACGGTTGTCATGCGGTGCTGCTATTCTGAGGGGATTTGAACCAAAATTACTGCATGGAAAAACAGAAACTACCAAAGAGAGGTTTGATGGGAAGCTTTAACTTGTTGTTTCCCTGCAATGGAGCATCCCTGCATGGAACAGGCTAGGTTGCTTGCCAGCAGCCCTCTAGGGATTAATTCGATCAGCAGCGATAGCTGTGCGGATCCTTTCTGAAGCTGTGTTCACCCCAGCTGTTTACCGTACAAATGTATCACAGTGCCACCAATGATACCCTGAGCCAAGCACTGAAACAGACCTTACAGTCAAGGCTTCATCCCTCTGCACATTCTCCAGAGAGCTTCAGCTTCCAGAAAGCTTATCTGCCCTCTGCAAATGGCACTGGCAAAGAAAGACATCTCTCTCTAAGCTGCAGTATTCCTTGCACTTATCACATTCGGCGCGGCTGCTGCCGTGACATGAGTTCTGCTCATTCTATTCATGCTGAACTACCTCTGCCGCACGACAACCAGCCAGCAATCGTGAGCAAGGCTGAGCAGCCCGGGAGAGTCAGCATCACTCTGAGCATGCACCAGACATCCTCTCCTTCCCTCTGAGACAGGCGTGCGCAGAGCTCTGCATCTCATCTAGCTAACAAGGGAAAGATGAGAAATAAAGCATTGACACAAAGCATATATACTGGACAGTGAGGGCAGAGGGGATGTCGTTGAGCAATAACCTGCATCGATCCTGCACAAAGGATCAGATGGGATCCAGCACAAAGGATGCATGGCAGGGCACAGCTGCATCCCGAAGTGCTGAGACTGCCACGGGAGCCTGGCCTGGCCAGCGATGAGTTAGCAAATTCCCTCAGCGAGGGGATGCCATACGGTGTCTAGACGGAGGTGTTCCCGGGAGTGTCTTTGAGAGGACGGAGCAGGGACGCCTGGCTGGGCGAAGCCCTCTCTTACACCCACCTCTGCTCTGCAATCCTGCCTGCACTGCACCCACCAAGGGTTCCTGGTGGTCTGGGAAATGGAGCGCTGAACGGGAAGGCAGAGCCAGACCTTCTCGTGCCCAAGTGGGAAACCACTTGTACCTCCCCAGACTGGATGGAGAGATGCAATCCCAGCTCTGCCACCAAGCAAGGTGCAAGGCAGGCTCTCGATTTTGGGGGAAATCATGAGTAAATGACACAGCCCGCGATGAAGATCTCCAGCTAGGGAGCTGCAGAGCATTGCTTGAAACAGGTGAAGAAAACAGGCATGTAAAAAATTAGCCCTGTCCTTCAACAATCAAGAATGGCAGGTAAAAAGCCATGCTTGGTAGTCATTTGGGGTTTCGCTTTGAGATCCCAAGCTATCCTCTCCAAAGGCAGGGTGAACTCTTACACCCCGGCTGCACAGCAGTGCTAACACCTCTGCCCAATGCACTCCCAGGCGGTCCTGGCGAGCACCCCGCTTCTCAGCACCCCAGGATGCCCGCAGCAGGGAGCTGGGTAGGG